ATCTCCTCTCCTGATAGTTAGATGTGAACGTAGTGAGGCTTAAAAATAAAACGTAAAGAAGGAAGGAAAACTGATGAGATTATTCACGGGGCCGTCAGTGTTAGTCAGGATGCTGACGGTTCCTGAATACCACGCAGTGTTTCTGCTACACTAACAATCAATGGAATAAAATGATTGATAGCAGTTTGGTTAACCATTTATAGGGAGAAGAGTCAGAGGCTTCCCCCCCCCATCCTTCAGTCAGGTCTAGAAGCAGCCTGTGAATGTTATTTTGACATTTGACCAATTAGATGAGTCCCTAAATGATATAGGTATTACCTACTGCAAATTAGGATGAAAACAAAGTTAACAGTTTATGAAAAAAGGTAAAGAGCTAAATGAAAAAGCTTAAAAGTAAAGTTAAAATCTTAATAAACTAAGTGTGTTTCTTTCACCCTGTGAGTGTTTTCATGGATTTATTATCGAAGCGCCTATTAAGCTATTTTTCTTAATATATTAGGGCAAGTTACCATTTTTTGTTATTACATTGAAATAAATTTTTGCCACCATCCATCCATCTATCTATTTTCTGTTACACTTTATCCCTTCTGGGGTCACGAAGGTTGCTGGTGCCCAGGATCGGACTGGTAATCTGTGATACTGGCCATTTGCCTGTTGAGCCAGTCCTAATTTCTCCGTCCGAAGCTCCTACCTGTAACAGTAAATACCTCAAGCAGCTCAAGAAGTAATCCAATGTTAACTCCCTAAATGATGCATGCAGTATATATAGCCCTTCCTTGTCATGCACATCCTTGTGATGGTGTATGGTGACATTTTCTATTTCTTCAAACTGTAAAATCCTTGCAACAAACTAAATTATAATCAAACTAAAATGCTTTCTTTAAACCAAACTACGACGTTCCTCTTGTATTTGGCGAATTCTTTCGAATTTTTTGCAAAAATATGTTGCGGTGAATGATGGGGTTTTGCATCTAAAGGCTAAAGTTATCTGTCTTACATGCATTGTTGCCAGGTTGGGATGTTTCCCAATCTGGCGGTTTACGATGGCCGTCTTTGGGTAAAAAATATTTTTCTTTAGATTTATGGCCTGAGAGATCGATAGACTTTGGTTCAGATTGGGCGAGATTTCTTATATCCAGGAGGGTTATGAAACATATTTGGGCTGGAAAACGTGAGTCAGTGACATCTGGTGACCCTGCTGATGTGGTGAGTGTGGACATTACTCAGCTGCAGCAGTCACTGTGGCGTCCGTGTTAATAACCAAAGCCAATAAAAACACATTATGGAGGTCTTGGTGATGGTTGTCGTGTGATGCTTGAAGATAGATCGGTTAATCCACAGTGTGTATTCGTATTGTGTTTGACATTTGAGACGCAGGCTTTTGACTGTGCTTATATTTTTTTATTCGGGGGGGGGGGTCCATAAGTGGGCCGGTGTAGATGGAAAACGCCAGGGCTAAAAATCGTTCCCAGTCCGAGCTGCTGGTTCCCATCACCATCTGTCTACGGGTGGGGGGCGGGGTCCACCCTGGACATGTCGCCAGTCCATCGCAGGGAAACACAGAGACAGGACAGACAACCATTCACGCACACACTCACACCTAAGGACAGAGGCGTGCACAGACATTTTGGGGGGCAGGTGCTCAGGGGGGGGGGGGGGGGGGCACTTTTTAGCGCACGTGTAACACTTAATTATAAAAAAAAATAAACGCATGTTGAATGAAATTTGACTTTTATTTGTAACATTCTCTAAACGTGAGTTTTCAATGGAAAAAAGTCACATCACCAACAGAACAGACTAAAGCATACTTCTTTCATCTGGCTCATCTCCCTGTTTTCCCTCACCCATCTGGTCTCCCTCATCCATCTGTTCTCCCTCATCCTGGTCTTTTTCTGTCTCTGTGTCTTCCCTGAACTCTTCCTCATCTCCTGTCCTGGTAGATGTTGATGGTATAGAGCTTCCCTGCTGTGACTGGCTACAATATAATAATAATAACAACCATCATGACAATAATAATAATAATAATAATAATAGCTTTAACAAATATGCCACATTAGTTTAAATAATGGGCTATTAGGGCAACATGACTGGAAGTCTTGTCACGTGGATATGACTTATGGTAGCCTACAAAATAATAGCTATTTTAATACCTGCTGCACAAACCACTTAAAAATAAAATGTGAACAGCTTTTAAGATTTTTCAATACGATTAACCCTCCTTTCTTGGTATTGTACTGCAATTACTAAATCAATATACAATTAAGACAATAAAGAGACCAAAATGTGTTAATTTATTTTGCCTAACAAAACCTATACAACAGAAAACGTTTGTCTTAACACATAGATTTGTACAGAAGAGGATTAGGGCCACTGAAAAAAAAAAAGTTAACTGATTTTTAAATTTTATTTCAGTTTAACATGGGAAAAAAGTCAGAATTCTGACTTTTTTATTGTCAGAATTCTGAGATTAAAGTCAGAATACTGAGCAAAAAGTCAGAATTCTCAGCAAAAAGTCAGAATTATGAGAAAAAAGTTAGAATTATGAGATTAAAGTCAGCATTCTGACTTTTTTCCCATACTAAACTGAAATAAAATTTAAAAATCAGTTAACTTTTTTTTTTTTTCAGTGGCCCTAATCCTCTTCCGTATTTGCAATTGCAAACTCTACCAAAATTATTTGTAGCCTATGTGGTCGTCCTCACGTTATCTGTCATTGACTTGGGCTACAGTGTAAAACTTTCAGAATCAGAATCAGGTTTATTGCCATTGTTAGTGAAGGAGTTCACAAACTAGGAATTTTTTATGGTACAATCGTGCAACATGAAACATATAATATGGAATAGGTAAATAAAATTATAAAAATATCTAAAAACTGTGGGTATACGTCATGCAATAAAATAGACTAATGTATACACTTAAGATAAAAAATATGGATACAAAATATAAAAAGTAAAATAGCATCTTACAAGGAGACAACTACCTTTGACCAGTCGGCAAAATGCGTGTTTGGTGCTGCTGAATGAGACATTTTAATGCACAACAAAATGATTCTGCTTGATCTGTATATTACCTGGCTAATGGGGCACGGGAGAAGCAGCCTGTCAGCGACCGTTCCTGCTATCTGAAAACTGCTATGATGCTGCGCATCTGGCATGCCCTGCGGGCGACCGAGCGAGTTCACGTGACAAAGGAAGAGAGAGAGGGTCGTTTGTGCGCAAGTAGGTCGGTCATTTCGGGGCATTGTTTCAGTCGTTTTTAATGGCTCAGGTTTTCAAAAGATCATTTCAAAACCGACCTCAGTAAAATCTTAATAATATTAACAATAATAAAAAAAAAAACGAGTTTCAAAAGGGCATTTTCTTTGATAGAGGGCAAACTTCCTAGTGCTTTAGCACCACCTAGTGTCTATGTGTGCACGCCCCTGCCTAAGGAGAATGTAGAGAAGCCGGAGTACCCAGAGAGAACCCATGCATGCTCAGGGATCACATGCAAACTCCATGCAGAAAGACCCCAGGCCAGGAATCGAACCCAGAACCATCTTGCTGCATGGCAGCAGTGCTCCCCACTATACCCTTTTTTCCACCAAAATATATATATATATTTTTACAAAACGTCAAAAGGTCTTGTCCTTATTCCAACAACACTATTAGCTTGAAATTTTGATTTTCAAAGTATTTCCCTGAGTGCTCTATAAAGGGCTGGAGGAAACAGATGAATGGGGCTTTATGCTCTGAAAGCGGCCATCTTGTCATTCCTTACATTAATTTTGTTTTTATTTGACTGACAGAGAGAAAAACATCCTCATCAGCAAACTCCAACATCTTCAAGGAAGGCAGTCCAACCTTTCTAGTTAGGAAGCTGCTAGCATTAGCATGTGTGTTGATGAAATGAACCGCCTCCACAGAAGAAGACGAAGGATTCACTCAGTGAACAACATCTTAAAGGAATCTGCGGCCGAATCCAAGGCTACATTTCTCATTAACATGGGTTTATACTGCGATTCTCAAATCTGGTGTGAAATAAGTGTCATCAATACATTTATATGAATAATTCTGATTATGTTAAACTTCCCCACCCCCCTTTGTATTAACATTATTACAGCTTAAGAATAGAAAAGTTAAGGAAATCTTTTGCAAGTCTGAACATTTCTATTCAGCCCCTTTAACTCTGATGCCTCTAAATAAAAATCTCAATGAACCCAAATATCAGAAGAAGCTCCAGAAATCTCTGAATGAAACATGGTGGCGGCGGCAGCATGATGTGGGCAAAGGAAACCTGGTCAGAGTTGATGGGAAGAGGAATCTGGCTAAAGAAAACCAGGTTGGAGGTTAGAAAGGACACGAGACATTTAGGTTAGGGAAAGAAGTCTTCTCCTAACATCCAAAGCTGATTAAAAGGTTCCCAAAACTCCTAAAATGTGGAGCTCTAGCTGCAGCGGAAGATGTTTCTACACATTTTGTAGGATTAGATTTAACCAGTTGCAGGTTGCGATAGGATGAGGAATCCAGTGTGAAAAAAAGGCACTGTCTTTAGAATATGGACTATTTGGTTTTTTTTAGGGTGTTTTTATGTTAGAGTGGAGATTGTCGGGCTTAAACAGGTCATCAGCTGCGTCCGTATCCTGCTACAGACTGTCTGTTGAATCTAAGTCTCTCTGACTCAAACAGGAGCTGAATTTCTGTTAGTTTCACTCCAGTAATTCAAGCAGGAAAAGCTGAATAATTCACCACCTTGCTTTTTCCCCTCTTACCGTTTCTACCCGACTCACAGCATCTCTGCCCAGAGAAGAGCATTGAAGCATTTCCAGCATGCCCCCCGCTCCCACAGCCCTCTTCTAGATCAGTTTCCAAGGTCACACTTTCCACACAAACACCCGGCTTCTCTTTTTAGCTCTGCTTTTGTTCCCAGGAAGCTGCTCACAATCCCAAAAGCATGAATGCTTGTTTTACAGCCACCTGAAACCTGTCATATTCACGCTGTTTATTCCACATCTCTTCCAGACTGAAGTCTTTGGTGTCGACTGGAGGCCGGAGTGTCCAGGCAGCGTGTGACTGGTGAGTTTAAACATCCATCCATCTTTAGCCCAACCACAGAATGTCCAAACAACACTAAACCTACCTGCCACTAACCAAGGTAGGACAGGACCGTGTGTAACAGCGCCCTCTGCTGTCACCCAGGGCTGCAGTACATCCTAAAGTGGTAGAATAATAAATGTCCAAATGAAATATTTAAGATAATTTTATATTCCAACACTTTCCATCAGTTTAAGTGATCTGAGAGTGAAAGATATTAAAACCCTTCCGTTATTGATGATACATTTTACAGGATCATCTGTAAAACATTGTTTTATAGATGAATTATGTCAATAGGCTGAAATACACAGACTGAAGTCCTGTCATTACTGTTTTTATATGTGGTCCAAAAAATATGGAAGAGCTACATCATATAACAATTAACAATTAGTTTACATCCAAGTAGTGTGCAGGTCTTCATATATATACCCATCCATCCAGCCGACACACTTTATCCCGAGTGGGGTCGCGAGAGGTGCTGGTGCCTATCTCCAGCTGTCTAGGGGCGAGAGGCGGGGTTCACCATCACAGGGCAACACAGAGACAAACAGGACAAACAACCATTCACACACACCTAAAGAGAATTTAGAGAAGCCAGACTACCCGGAGAGAACCCACGCATGCTCAGGGAGAATATGCTAACTCTATGCAGAAAGACCCCTATATATAGGGCTACAGGTAGTCACTGTGCTGAATGGTGACATGGTGTGTACCACACTCAACATGGACCAGAAGAAGCAAGGAAAAGAGTTGTCTCAAGAGTTTAGAAATACAATTATAGACCAGTATGTTAAAGGTAAAGTTCATAAAGCCACCTCCAAGCACCTTGATGTTCCTGTGATTACAGGAGAACATTCATTAGTCAATCTCGTTGGATGTAGCCATAGGACAAAAACTGATGACAAACCAAAGAGACGTAAAAAAGGAATGGTAACTAAAAGACCCCAGAAAAAAATGAAACTTTTACTCACGGCAAATCAACTCCGTGTTCAAAGATGGAAAAAAATGAAGCATATGAAGAAAAGAACACTATCTCTACTATAAGACATGGAGGAGGCTTTGTCATGCTCTGGGCTGCTTTACTTCATCTGGCATAGTGTGTCTGAAGGGTCCAATGAAATCTTCAGACTATCAGAGATTCTATGGAGAAATGTGCTGCAGTGTCAGAAAGCTTGGTCTCAGTCACAGATCTTCAACAGGATAAAGAGTCAAAACACAGCTAGAAACAACCAAGAACGACACATTGGAGCAGTTTGAAGATAAGGAGTTTAGCAGAATAGCTGCTGAGAGGCTGGACACTGTGAAACTGGATCAGTCTGGTTCTGGTGAAGTCATTTCTGGTTCTGCAGGTAGGGCAGATTAGATTTGGGTTTAGCTAGGGAACCAGTAGCTTCGTGAGACCATCCTGATCTCGCGAGCTTTCAAGATTTCACTCGCAGATCAGTCTGGAGACTCTCCGTTGAAGAAAATTTGGAGCCGTTCACCAAACGAACGTCCAATCAGCGTTGGCTCTGACGCGGGTTGAGGTGTGACGCAACGAGAAGCGCGACAGTTCAGTCTAAAGAACATGGCGGCTTCAGCCGATGAAACTAGCGTTAGCGTGGCTATCGAGCAAGTTTTATCGAAATTACAGAGTATTTCTTTACTGAAAGAAGAGCAAAACACTGCTCTGGAGGCTTTTCTCAGAGGAAAAGATGTTTTTGCTCTTCTCCCGACTGGTTTTGGCAAGAGTTTGATCTATCAATTCGCTCCTCTTCGTCGTTGCTCTGTTAGTACGTCATATGCTTCGTTGATCTGATTGGTTTATTTGGCCCGTCTATCACCAACATAGGCCAATCAGCTAACCAGTATTTTCGCCCCTTCCCAAAATTACTTCAATGGAAGGTTTCCAGATGGACATGCGGAGCAAATCCATCGTGCAAAGTAAGGTTAGGGAACCAGAACAATGAGGGCTGCATCACTGAAACCAATTCTTTGTGTTAATGAGGTCAGCTGTGATCTTAACTTTGTGTGATGATCTAAAATGTGTAAATGAGAGAAAAAAACAAAGTAAATAAATTTCATTTCTCCTCCCAGGCTCTTCTCCCATGTGGACGACCCGTTCCTGGACGATCCTCTGCCCAGGGAGTTCGTCCTCTACCTGCGACCCAGTGGGCCGCTCCAGAACCAGCTCTCCCATTTCTGGCAGCAGAGTCGGCTCACCTGCGGAAAGAACAAAGCCCACAACATCTTCCCACACATCACTCTGTGTCAGTTCTTCATGGTGAGCCCTGTTCTCTGAGTCAGGAGGGTGTCACGCCTCCTCGGGACCAAGCTTCTGACTCTTCTCCTCTGTCCAGTGTGCTGACTCAAAGGTGGAGGCTCTCTGTGAGGCCCTGCAGACCACCGTGCAGCAGTGGAGGGGTCGGTTCCCCAACCCACTGCCTCTGGAGCTCTACACATCCTCCAACTTCATAGGGCTGTTTGTGGAGGAGCAGGTGGCTGATGTCCTCAGGCAGTTTGCAGCTGACTTCGCCACAGAGGCTGTAAGGAAAACAGGTAAAACACAGTCTGCTTTATTATTCCCGTCAGCCTTTGATGGTTGGGTGGCTCGGTTAAAGATGGCCACCATCTGATGTGTGCTGGGCTCTAAAATAAGTTCTATGATCGTACAATCCTGTCTCTCATCCAGAGGTCAAAGTGGAGCCTCACAAGAAGCAGCTCCATCTAACACTGGCGTACAACTTCTCCACTGATCACCTCCCCTCCCTGGAGAAGCTGGCCAAGGGCATCGAGGTGAAGCTGGGCTGTGATTGGCTGGCCGTACTTTTCTCCAGGGACATCCGGTTTGCTAACCATGAGGTAACTATACACCCAGTCGGTTTTCCATCATGCTTATAAAAATCTCCCAGAGATTTATTTCATCTCCATGTGAACTTTAACCAACATGCCCTTTGAATGCAGACGGTGAAAGTCATGTACCCCTACATGCCACAGAACGATGATGAACTAGAGCTCACTCCTGGGGATTATATCTTCATGTCTTCCATGGATCAGAACAGCACCAGCGAGGGCTGGGTGTACGGGACGTCCCTGGCCACCGGCCTGTCTGGACTTCTGCCGGAGAACTACGTCAGCCCGGCAGACGAGTCTGACTCCTGGGTGTTTCACGGGTGAGGGGACAAACCAGACTGCCGGATGACAAAGCAAACATGTCACACCGCAGCCACTCATCATTAAACGAGCAGAACATCCATAAAGTTATTGATCCTCTACAGGAAAAGGCTGCTTAAAGTTACTAATTAATAACTGAGATAGTAGGACAGAGCATTACAGCCGTACTAAGGAAGATAAAGTTGAAATATTGGATTAAGGTTGTAACGTTGCCAGCATAAAATTGTACCAATATGACATTCAAATTGTAGAATAACAAGAATAAAATTTTTACATTATTAAATCAAAGTCATAATATAAGGAGAATAATGCCATATTTAGAGATTAAAGGAGCCTATTCTGATGTAAACTCTTTAAAGAAAGCATCTTACTCCTGACTTTAAATGTTAAAAATGCAGTTTGGTCAACTCATTTCAAGCTTTTATCTTTTTAAAACAATTTTTTTGTCACATATACATAACTTTATCAGATGAAATTTGCTATTATTTTAAGGTTACAACTTTATTTACTTATTCAAATATTTCAAAACAAATCCTCAGCCGTATCTCAATTCACTAGAACGCCAGTACGGACTCGTGTCCTCACCAAGTATGTTTTTGAGAAGAACGCAGAAATGTGTGGACTCTGGGAACGGGAGAACGCAGAATAAATCTGCGTCAATTGGAACTCGTGACATCACCACATTCAAAACTCGTCTGGAGCTGTTTTTCACCTCCTATTATTAATATTCTCTAGATAATTATTAATTCTTACTTTTTTATTTAGTGGTAGGAATAATAATTAACACAGAGACAAACAGGAAAAACAACCATTCACACACATTATTTTGCCAAATAGAACCAAAAAAAAAATAATCGGCAACATAGCTAGCGATCCTTCACACATGGCTATGCAGAGAGAGGACTGCTATAGACGGGCTAAAGTTAGCCCTGGCTGCAGTTACCCTCGGAGCTCCGCTGGTTGCCACGGTCCTCTTAACATCAGAACTTTTTTTAAATTATGCACTAAATCGGTAAATGGGCCATATAGTGATGGTTAAAAGTATAATATTCTCCCCCCAAGTGATCGTAAAATGTGCTTTTATTGGACAACAGAGACAGAAAAGAGAACTTTTAACTTAATACTCTCAGTTCTGTGAGCGCTCCATTGGCTCAAGAATGGACAAGTCTGCTCTGATGCATGCTGGGTAAAGAGGGAGAGGCGACAACAACATCCAGGGGCTTTGTCCGTTCTCGGTCTTCTTGTTCTTGTGAATTGGAACAGTACTAAGGCTGAGGATGATGACATTTTTCGAGTAGGCGAGCAAATGAGGAAGCACAAGTAAACAGATTGAGAAAGGTCCCTGGTGTAGCCCAAATACTCCTTCATAGAGGCAGATACACAAACCTACTAAAGAAAAATCTAAATTTAATGCATCATAAATCCATTGAAGATCATGATTAAGATAATGAAGAACGATAATAGTAGTATTATGGTGTGGGATAGATTTTTTCTTTCAAATTTGCCAGATAATTGTTTATATATCATGAAACTAATAGCTGGAGGACAAATGAGAGACGGTTAGCATGCTGCTACAGCTAGCTCCAAGTGTTTATCAGAAGACACACAATTATATTGTGATTTCAGTTGATCAGGTAATAAAATCCACCAAAAGACTTCCATCTGTCTTCAGCGAGGTGTTTTGAATGAAACAGCTGAACCTTCATCCTCTTGTTCCAGCTCCCATTCCTTCTTCAGCTGTGGACCCAGTGAAAAAGGCGGGAAAGAGAAAGGAATGTTTGACGGGCTGCTGGACGGACGACGTCCAGACAGCACCGGTCCCGGAGAAATGCCCCCCCTCAGTGTCATCTGCCACCCTATGCAGGTATTTTTACTGCTGTGATCCTCTTAACTCAGACATTAGTTGTTGTTAACTAGTTTGGCTGAAGTGCTGCTGGTTGTCTTTGACCCCAGCAGGTCCAGCGGTTCAGTGGCAGCCACACCCGGCAGCCCAAACGAACTCTGTTTGTGTGCCGGCACGGTGAGCGGATGGACGTGGTGTTCGGGAAACACTGGCTCACTCTCTGCTCCGACAGTAAAGGTGAAACCTGAAACTCTGCGAGGTCTTAAACCAGAACTCAACAATCTTTAAAGTCGTAGAGAAAAAATATTTAAATGTCAAATCATTCTGCCTTAAACATGTATATAAATATACTCTATATCTGATGATATTGTCCCAAAAGTTAGAGAATTTATATTTGAAAAAATAATCCTGTCTTAAAATCTGTAGGTTTTTTTTTTTCGTTATTTTAATCAGTTAGTCGTCTTATATAATATATATATAATATTTATAAATTCGGCCAATCATATATCAACGGTCATCTGTCAATCACATTTTTTCGGTCATAGCATCTTGATTCATATGTCGCAGCTAATATATGCAACAGAACTGGCAGCGTTGCGAGGCAAGGGCTCAAACATGGACGGCTGGAAGCCTTCTACACCAAACCAAGCTTCTGCCGCCCTGGCGTCCTCTTCCACAACATCTTGGTCCCCGCTTTCCTCCTCTAAATAAAAAAATGGATGACGGAGGAGACTCATCCACGACCTCCGACACTAAACTCTCCTCCTCTTGCATGTTCCCGCTGTCCATAGCGTTCCTTGACAGCGTCGTTTCTAAGTCACCAATTTAGTGCTACTTGGTCCCAATGGAATTTCCCATTGGGAACCTGCTAGCACTAAGTTGCTAACTGGTTAGCAAGATGCTTCCGAGAAATCAGCCACAAACATAAAGCCACAACAACCCCGCCCCCTTGATAAACAACCAATCACATTCACTTTATTCTCTTATGTAAAGTCGGGCATCACTCGGAAGAATTTAATCTTGAGACCAAATGCGTTCTGTTTATCTGCAGGTCGATACGTTCGCTCCAACCTAAACATGCCTCCCAGTCTGCCCCTGTGGGGGGGGCAGAGAGACTATAACATGGACGCTCCCATCACTGTGTTTGGATCCACTCAGGCTCGATTAGTGGGTAAGTCGGGAAAAGGTGACCAGGAATCTGGTTCACGAACGGCATCTATGCTAAACATGCGCATCCTCCCCAGGTGAGGCTCTGCTGGAGAGCAACACGACCATAGACTTTGTTTACTGCTCTCCATCCCTACGATGTGTTCAGACGGCACAGAATATCCTGAAAGGCGAGTTGGTTCTGCTCCTCTTCTCCCTCTGTTTAACTTTTGGTCACAGCAGAGCCTTTTAATTACTGCTTGCATCTGTGTGAGCAGGGCTGCAGCAGGACGGAAAGCTGAAGTTGCGGGTGGAGCCGGGCCTTTTTGAGTGGACAAAGTGGGTGTCTGGGAACTCGCTGCCAGCATGGATCCCCCCCACTGACCTGGCCGCAGCCAACTTTTGTGTGGACACGGCTTACAGGTGATGGAAACGCCCCCTTCCACTGAAACATGTCAATTCAATTCAGTTTATTTCTATAGGGCCAATTGACAAAACGTCATTACAGTTCACCAGATCATCCAGTCAATCTGATTCAAAGTTTTCTATCTAAGGAAAACCAGTTGATTGCATCGACTCATTGACTCTTCAGCAATCCCTCACACTAAGCATGCTTGTAGCGACAGTGGAGAGGAAAAAATCCCTTTTAACAGGGAGAAACCTCCAGCAGAACCAGGCTCAGTGTGAGCGGCCATCTGCTGAGGCCGACTGGGGTTCAAGGAGACAGAAGCAGACATAGAAAAAGCAGCATAGATACAAAAGGCAACTGTAAAAGGCGGCCCCGTCCAGGAAACACACAGCCAGGCAGACGAGCTCTGAACCAGCTCCCATGTCAGGGGATGAAGAGAGCACATCCAGCCATTTACAGTCAGAGAAACAGGACTACACTGGAAAACAGGCTGATCTCCAACATCTAGAAACAAAGGTGTTGATGGCAGCAGCACAGCTGATATTTCTCTCCAGGATGGAGTCACAGCCAAACAGGAACAGACCAGATGAAGCTACTATGAGAAAAAGCAGAGAGAGCAGAATGTTAGAGATTGAACTAACAGATTCTGCAGAGTGGGAGAATAGAGATAGAATGAAGCAGAATGATGAAAAAGTGGGTCCGTATGTCCTCCAGCAGGTGGCGATAGAGTTGAGACTTGACTTGGAGTCTTGGTGTAAAATGTCTCGCTACCAGTTTTTGCAGACGGAAAGTGCGTCTGTATCTGAGTTGATGGTGACCATATTAGATAAAACATCAGTATGTTTCAGCTTCATTTCTCACCAGAGACAGCTTCACATATCTGAATCTGTTGTCTGATGATGTTTGTCTCTGTATAGACCTCTGATCCCAGTGAGCAAGCTGACCGTGTCCGAGTCCTACGAGAACTACATGAGTCGCAGTTACCAAGTGACCAAAGACATCCTGTCGGACTGCAAAGCCTCTGGTAGCTTTAGCCTCTCTCTGCTCTCATTGTTCCCATGTGTCTGTGCGGCCCTGATGGCTTCTGCTCTGACGTTCTGCTCTATGTAGGAAACAACGTGCTGATTGTAGCCCACGCGTCTTCCTTGGAGGCCTGCACGCGGCAGCTGCAGGGCCGCAGCCCCCAGAACGCCAAGGACTTCATCCAAGTTGTACGAAAGGTCCGGCTGCCCCACATTTGTCTGATCTGTGGTTTGGTGTTACTTTATGATGTTAATAAAGCTCCATGTACGAAAGCAGGTGGAAATAATTTTACAAAGTTGTTGATTATTTATATTCAGACATTTATTCTGCTCTAAAAGAGATAAATATTAAGGAATATCTTCCTGTTTAGATTGTACCTATCCTGTTTAACGACTGCACAGAATTTACCACCAATTGTAATTTCTCTTAGGAATTAGGAAAATTTTCTTAAAACTAGCTAAAGCATCATCACTGCTCTGATTGGACTGATGGCTAATGACCAAAACGGCTCAGTTTTCAGTTAGACCATCACTAACTGTTGGCGAACGTGTTGGTAACTCCTAAATCCATCTTGCTCCAACTTCCAGCTTGTGCAAACAAAACTCTTTGGGGTGGATGCTATTATGAAGTGAAGGTTAGCTCCTCTCAAGCTGTTTAATTGGTTCAGAATTAATTGAAAGGAAGGCTTTGAAAGGAAAGTTGGCTTTTGCCACCTGCTGAGACATGTTTGTGGTTCATTGAAGCTCTGGGAGAGAGAGCAGGATACAAAGCAGATAACAGGAAGGAGAGCAGGAATGTCATTTATTTTTTAATATTCTACATTTAGAACGGTTGAGGTTGAAGAAAATTATCTATTTGTTTCTTTAGAAAACAAACAGACGACAGTTTGAGTCATGCTAGCTGAGCTAATTGTTCTAATGGCTTCCTTAATCCTTTGATGTTTTAAAATAACGAAATCTTGTTTTATAATTCCTGTTTTTTTGATCATTCAGTGTCGTTGACTCGGTTTCTAAAATGATTAGTTAGTTAGTTAGACTTGGATGCAGAACATAATGTGTCTATATTTTCTTTCATCATAGTCCTTAAAGGGTTGATAGAATGATTCTATAGGGTATCTGGTCCTTCAGGTCTCTGAATAGGGTGTGTAACATTAGCTGTTCTATGAGCCCTAATGCAGCCTGGTTAAAAGCCCTAGAATGAAACGACAGGTTTTCTTCCTTTTATGGTGTGATCATGAATCTTTCGATGAGCTGTGCTCTGATTGGTTGGTTTACAACAAGCGAAGCTGCTGAGCAAAGACGCATCATAGCAACACATAGCCGTCAGCTCCAGGGCTGGTCTGGGAACCCTGGCGGACGGCGGCAGGGAGCCAGTGGGGGACGGAGCGCCCGAACCCGACCCTATGACGGTAGCCTGGACACGGGCGGCCCCGTGTTTCCCCCGACCTTCCTTACTGGCCCCCAGCCCCCCTCCTCCGGCTGAGGACCGGCAGCTCATGCCTCTCTGCTGAGGTCCGATCCAGGCAGCAGCCCAGCAGCCCCCCTCCCCTCCAAAAAAAGAAGTGTCCTCCTTTTCATAATCCCAAATCTGGTCACCATAGATACGCTAGCTTTGCTATCAACAGCTTAGCGACAGAACCATCCTTCCAGCTTGCGGTTGTGATGGCCTTACGGTGGGAACAGCCCCTCATTTCAGTAAAAGAAGTTTAACAAATCCTGCTTTGAACTGTCCAACGTTTTGAAAGCTGTCCAACAGTAAAATGCTTCGAGCAAATGAGCAGCTGAGCATCAAACTTTGCAGGGATCTTCTGATAGACAAAAATAATCAATGCCTGTCGAGCCTTTAGATCCTTCCTCCAGTCATCCTGGAACGCTGCATTTCCGCCCCTGGTTTTGACTCATTTTCAATAGAGAAACTGCCTGCTTTGTAATTGTTGAAGTAAACCCGACTGTAGCCCAACCAGTGGGCTGGCCTGTATGTCAGTTTCAGGGCGTGACATTAGTCCAGGCCAGAACCAAATAAGACACCACCCCCGAGTTTACATCAACTCGGTGCTTTGTTTGAATTCGGCCGTTTTATGGTGGAAGTTTGGAATTGTGAGATTTGCAGAGAAAGGAGGTGTTGATGAGGTTTGAACTTTTCTGTACATCCGTTTCACCCACTGAACTATTGTTATTCATCTATGACGAGGTAAACTCGGTTTGGCATTCTATGACCCCTTTAAAACGAAAGAGATTGGTTCAAATGAAACAGCACAAAAATGATTTTATTTATTATTATTTTATTACATTTAGAAACCATGATGTCCTGTGCTTGCTCCACAGATCCCCTACCTGGGCTTCTGTGCCACTGAGGAACAGGGAGAAACAGGCACGTGGCAGTTAGTGGACCCTCCTATCATGCCTCTAACTCACGGACCGAACCACTCCTTCGACTGGAAGGAGACGCTCCTGCAAGAATGAAGTCTTCGCGCTCTGAGCTCCTCACAATCTTCAGTGCCACAATTCATAGCTGCGACTCAAACAAACAACACAGAGATTTTTTTCTTTTCATTATTAATCATTAGACGGCGAGCTGTGAAAAGTGCTTGCTGTTAGCGGCGGCCAGCCATGGACTGGATTCATCTTCAGGGATCATGTTCACACTCACATGGCATTATGGGATGGCTCAGCATCAGAAGGTCTGTGTGGGAGAGCTGACGTCAGCAGCATCGCTGAAATTGATTGGAACGACCGTTTTCTGTAGCTTCTCTCTTTATGCTAACTCATGTCAGCAGGCTAATATGCGCTGCGCTGTGGCAGCAGGTCCAGTTATGTGTGATTATAACTCAAGTGTTTTGTTTTGTTTGCTGATAAGAAAGTCAGAACCCAGAGGTCAACGTTTCATTTTGTTTCTCTGTCCACTGAGCGGCGCTCTGCCACACAGACCCAAGCAAACTGTTGGTCCCAGTAGAGCTGATCGAACCTGGCAGCCATTTTCGTGACTTCATCAGTGACCATACTGATGCTCCTCCCACTACTTGAGATGTCGCCATGTTGGGTTCTCAGGAGGAAACAGAACTTCCTGCAGGTTTGATGACACACGTTGCACTTAGTGACAATCATCCAGTAGCTTCCTGATTCTTGTCCCGGGGGGGTTGGAGTAGCTGAAATCAAACATAGAGGAAGGTCTTCCAGTTGTATCTTTATTTATTTTTAAGCATTGTTTTTAGAAAAAAAAAGAAACTTTTTTTAACAGCATGCAAAGAAATTAAGAAGCGTTTGTCTCAGGTGTATTTCTGCAGCTTTGATTTAACTGCCTGAAGGTAATGTGCCTCTGAGGAATCCTGTGAAATCTGCTCATGATTCTCATCTTCTTCATCATCCTCATCTTCTTCCTCCTCATCTTCTTCATGCCTCGACAGCAGAAACTCAGAGTGGGATGCTCATTTAGCCTCACGGCATCAGTTACATTTCCACGCTGCTTCAAAACAGATCATTCAGTTTTTAAATAAATTAGCTGCAGGTTTAATTTAATATTTTCTTTAAGACCTAATCACAGATTTTGGTTTCTGAAGGACTATTTACAGCCATTCCAGATTATTCTGAAAATATCTTTTGTTCTGCTTGATCCTGAAATGTATGTAGTAATGTGACAGATTTAAGGTTTGAGAAAATATCTTATTTTTTCCATCTATTTAAGGAGCCACACAACAAATTCATTTATTCTATTTTTTACCCAGCCTCGTGAGACCATCCTGATCTCGCGAGCTTTCAAGGTTTCACTCGCAGATCAGTCTGGAGACTTTCCGTTGAAGAAAATTTGGAGCCGTTCACCAATTGAACGTCCAATCAGCGTTGGCTTTGAGGCGGGTTGAGGTGTGACGCAACGAGAAGTGCTACAGTTCAGTCTAAAGAACATGGCGGCTTCAGCCGATGAAACTAGCGTTAGCGTGGCGATCAAGCAAGTTTTATGGGAATTACAGAGTATTTCTTCACTGAAAGAAGAGCAAAACACTGCTCTGGAGGCTTTTCTCAGAGGAAAAGATGTTTTTGCTCTTCTCCCGACTGGTTTTGGCAAGAGTTTGATCTATCAATTGGCTCCTCTTCGTCGTCGCTCTGTTAGTACGTCATATGCTTCGTTGATCTGATTGGTTTATTTGGCCCGTCTATCACCAACATAGGCCAATCAGCTAACCAGTATTTTCGCCCCTTCCCAAAATTACTTCAACGGAAGGTTTCCAGATGGATATGCAGAGCAAATCCATCTGGTGGAGTCAGGTTAGTTTTTACCATCTAATCCAGCTGAAACAGTAATGCATGGATAAAATGAGAGTATAGTTTGACAGATGAGGTCCACTTTAGAGAAGTTTTTCTAACTCTGAGACAGAAAAAAAGGTTTTCCCTCTGAGGCTTAGTTAGCTCTTTGTCCACATCCAAATCCATGGATAGAAGTGGCTCAGCGTCTTTGAGGATCACATGCCTAAAACAGCAAAGCTGAGGATCCATTAGCCAAAACTGCATATCTAAATAGGAATAAGTTGAATCAGCTTAATTGACTGAAAAAATAAAAGTTCTAAAAGTTCAACCCCTTCTCACCAGTAATAAAGCCAATTCTAATCTAAAAAAACTGTAGCTTAGCTTTACCTGCTTTAAATATAGGAAATAATCTGCTATTTAGCGACCTTTGCTATCTAAATTGACTAATTGCAAAAAAAATGAAACAGATAATCAGTTAGAAAAATAATTATAAAAAATTGCTTGATTATTTTACTAGATGATATTAGTATCAATTTAAAATTTAAAATTCAGTTTATATATAATGCTTGAATTCACAACAAAGATAATTTAATGGCATTTTACAGAAATAACTTCATCAGATCGTAAAGTCAGTTCATTTGACAGCGATTCCACATATGGTCGAATGGATTTTAAATGTAAAAAATATTGCTTAGCAAACATTCGACTGTCCTACTTTTATATAAGTACACCCTCCCCACGCAATTCATGAGGCACTATATGGTCCCTGTTAATATCGGGATATATTGGGATAAATCAGAATGTGATACATGGATATTATGTATTGTATTAAAATTCTTGCAAATTCCTAACTTGTAATGGGGGTCAAACTGAAAACAGAGACATTAAATAGCTGCAAAATAATAATTAGAACCTAAACCAAATATGTATAAAGATCTCAGCAGTTTAATAAGAACTACTATCTGAACCATAACTATAACTCAGATAGTGAGAAACTGCAAACATCACTGTTATTGTTCTTCTTCCCAAAGATAATCTGCTTTAATCAGTCTCCTTGTTCGGTTTTTGGCCCCATTTTAGCTCATCTTCACCCATTTGTGTCACCAAATCATTGAGATGTGTTTGGTGAATGAAAAACTTGCTTTTCTGCAAAGAGGGACACTTATTTTTTAGAACCACATGAAGAAGACTTAGAGGAAGAAGCCTTATTTTTTCTGCATTTCTTATTTATTGTCTGACCATTTCATTAATGTGTACAGAAAATAAGTTAAAGTTCCATCTTTTCAAGCCAAATTAAACCTGTTCACATGTAATTTATAAAGAGGTGTATGTATGAGTGCAATTAATCTTTTTCTGCTCACTTTGAAAAGAATGCAGCTATAAAGTAAAAAGGTTCTTTATTTATGTACGGAGAATCCTGAGAGGAAGAAGGACCCGACTTTTGATTTTTGTGACAATCTTCATTTGGTTTTTAAGTTCTATTTTTAATGCTATGAAATCAAGCACCGTTATTTCCTTAGCAATACATTTTAAAACTAAAGCTTGTCCATAATTAAATGTTATTTTCCTGGGGTTTGCATCTAAGAGTAATTTGACTGATTTTGTTTTTTCTGTCTGGTTGGAAAATCTCATTCAATGCTTCTGTTAATGATAAAGGTATTAACATCCTTCTTTTGAATAAAAGAGCAAAATCGTTCTTTGGAAAATAAAAAACTCTTGACTCGCATTTTCTGATTTCAGTAATGATAAACACTGCATATGCACCTTTATATTTTTTCACATCTTCTTACAGGATAACAAACATCTATGGAGTCAGAAAGGGGACAAAATGTTTGTAAATGTATAATTAGTTCAAACTGAAAAAAAAAGTTGAAACAGAAAAAAAATCTAAGGTGAATTGAATGTCAAACTTTTACCATATAATCTGAGAAACTAAAAAAGCAAACATAAAATAAGAATCAAATTAAATTCTTCCCCTCAGCTTGAAAAAACTCATAATTCAGTTTAGTATTTTATACACTTTTTCCTCTTTTTATTTTTCTTTATTGAATATTCATACTTTAGATTTTCAGATTCAAATCCCTTTCTTTCAGTTATTTTTTTTAGTTCCACATTCCCTATTCAGTTTTTATACTTTTCACATTCAGATTTTGACCCCAGCCTGACGGGATCGGGCTTGGAAACGTGATTAACATCTTGCAGCAACGCTGGAGAGATGTCCTGTTCCATGTTGCATTCATGGACTGTGGGAACTCCAATAAAACATTCTCTGCTGTATTTATTTAATAACCTTTTTGGTAAAGTCCTGTGAAAAATATTACGTTAAAGACATTTACACTGGATAAATTGTTAAATGCAAGTGTCCTATGATTTCATGGCTTCCTACACTTGAAAAGGAGGACTTGAAGACTTTAGGAATTCACTCAATCTTTTTATTTTCACCAATGAGTGAGAACCAATAAACAGAACAGAACAGGTGAAAATCCTACAAAACACATACAAAATATTTTTAACATACATTTTAGACATTTGGTTCAAAGTTAATAATTATCTTAATGACTAATTCCATTTTTAACCTTAAACATACATTTCTTTTACGATTTTAACCATAAATTCAAGTATTAAATTATTAAATTCCATATCTGGTTGAATTTGAACCAAACAAAACCAAACATTTTAGAATTACAATTGTTTTTCTTTTTCTTAGGACATAAGTTTTTACATTAAATATCTTAACATACATTTAGTGGAACCAAACTGTAAAACTAGCAGTGCAAACTGTTACTTCAATAAATTCTGCATCCTTATAAGTCCTTTTCCATGAAATGCTGCTTTGGAGGCTGTTTGCCTTCCTCAGCTCTGTTGCAAAACCAGCAAAGTGGTTTGTGGATTCCTTATTACCTGAGTTGAGGATGCTGCTGATTGGGCCAGATTTCTTTCACCTGCTGAGAAGTGCTGCAGAGTGGCACACTGATATGTGTGTGTATGCACCCACATCTGAACAAATGGGCAGATCTGCGCAACAGCAACTGTAACTTTATGAGAATAAGATGGGATGAGATTAACGGAGAAAAGAAATGGAAAAGGGGTGAAGGGAGGGTGGGGTTGACCAATCATAAGAGACTGAAGGTTGACCATAAAGTATAAATGGATAATTAGAGGAGTGATTTGGGTGGTGGCCCAAAACCTAACTTAACCTATTTACTCCTTATTTGTAAAGATAAAGAAAAATGTGTTGAACTATAACTTATAATTCCAATAAGATCTGTTGATATCTGTGGTTTTAATGTGACATAATGTGGGAAGCATCAAGGACAGTTTACATTTCAGAATAAGTAATCAATCATTCAACTGTTATTGACCCCCGAGATGCTCCTTCTTTTTGAAAGATGGCAACGCAAACAAACGGCGTCTGCAAGGCTAGCAATTAGCAGCTAGTTGAGAAAAATGCAGAGGAAACACTATCTCTGCATTCTCTGCTTCTCTATGGAAGCCCAGAGCCGCCATGCTCACCTTTTTTTTCTTTCTTTGCTTTCTCGAGATAATGATATAACTCTCGTTATCATGGTTAAACATTCATTGTTTTCTCGAGATAATTAACAGTTTAACCGTGATAACGAGATAGTTATGCTATTATCTCGAGAGAACAAAGGGAAAAAAAAGAATCGAATATGTCTGCTCTCCACTTCCGTATAGTCCTGACTTAAATCTTATTGAGAATCTGTGGAGGACTAATTATAGATATGATGGTTTATGATGGCAAAGAGGCCCTCCAACCTCAGTCTAAGAACTGCTCATCAATCATCAAATTACCCACAGAAACCTGAAAATACTTATTAGCATCTATCAAAAGGGTTTGATTGCTGTAATGATTGTATTGCTTCTTAGGGAGGAAGCATTAATCTCTCCGGTTTCTTTACAACAAAACATAAATCCAGGTTCAGGTCCTTCAGGGTTTATTAGCAATATTTAATGATCAGGTATCAGCAGAGCTTTGATGATTTATGATAAAAACACGACACATAAACACACTTTACCTTTATTGACAAACCTTTCTGGGATACGAGACAAACATGTATGTTTATAACCTGGAGTAGTTATTTCTACAACATAGCATGTTGTTTAATATATGAATTAAAGCTGAAAAAAAAAACACATTTATAACCAGCATGACCTCTTTTTTTGTTTTTTGTTTTTTAGAAAAAAAGAGGGTTAAATTACAAAAATATCCAAGAAAAGCCTGTAAAGTATAATAAAAATATCGTATTAAACTAAGTGTGCTGCTGCCACCAGAAGCCTGACTGGAAGAATCAGAGAAACAGAACAGAGATTAGAGCTCAGAAGCTCATTTCTGCAGCTTTGTGTGGGTTTACAGTGATGGCGCCAGGGTCAGAGAGACGCAGCGGCATTCTTAAAACCACAGGCAGCAGAACGCCTGACAGGGTTCCTCTGCACAACGAGCAGCAGGAGAAATCAGCAGGTTCTACATTTCTGATTGATACTAGGCAAGAAGAAATAAAATAAAAAGGGTACAGATTAGATTATTAATCTGTAATGGGATCATTTGTTGCCCTTCTCTGCTTTATGAAAGGCTGCTGGATCAGATAAGAATTGGAGCGTTTGATTTAGAACGGTCAGAACCAACATTTTTCCCGTCACCAGTTAAACTTTAGTCTTCCCAATCTGGGAATTCAGCAGCAGCTGAACTGATGAGACAGCTTTGAAGCTACAACATCAGAGTTTAAAACACTCTGGATCATAACGTCCCCATCCAGCTCGCCGGGACTCGTATTTCCTCTCCTAAAGAGGAAGTCTGCCTGGGGTAAAAACGCTGCACTCAGAACAGGAGGTTCTGAAAAGGGCCTGATTTATTGTTTTTATTCCGTTTCTGAGGAACAGGGATGGACGTAACACATCCTGCACCTGTGTTCATGCTCTCTCTCTGGCTGAAGACGACCCTGACTATAAAGTCTGAAGGCAATCATATGTTCCTCTCTGATGATCTCAGTGGGCTGATCTGAGTGGTTAAGGAGATGAGGTAATACAGACAAGCAGCCACTGACAGAAGGGACTCCAGACAAACTGATGCTCTGAGTGCAGCTCTGCTTCAAGTAGTGTTTGGACGCCGTACATCATGTCACATGAGGAGGAGGTGGCGTTTAGACTTGAAACGAGGCTATGCAGACAGACTGGGGTCCCTTCCCTCGGGGGTCGGATTATCTGGCGTCGTTGAGCTGCCGGGCCACCGTCAGGATCTCCTTGGCTCCTTTGTTCAGCAGTAGGTTGGCGAGGTCGACGCCCAGCCGCTCGGCCGCGTCCTGAGAAGCAGCCGGCAGTTTGAGGGCTGTGACTCCCACCCTCTGGATCTGCTCGTCCACCTTCTCCCGGCTCTGCTGCAGAAACGGCGGTGAAAAGGTTCAGCTAGAGAGTTCAGAGGTGAAAAGACGCAGCGGCAGGAATGCTTTCCAACTTACCTCGTCGCCAGCGGCGATGCTGGTCTCCATGGTTTCCTTCAGACTCTCTGATCCATCCAGGCTGTAAACGGCACCGGTCAGGTAGAGCTGCAACAACAGACAGGTTTACATTCTTTTTCCTTTTGTTAACATTTTCATTTAGTTTGTCACAGTGGGACACAGACAGGATCAGGTCGGGTCAAAACCTGAATTTGGCTGGAAAATGTGAATAAATTCAGTGAAAAGTTTGACTCGTGTTTTCAATTTATTTTGAAAGCGACATCATAAACGCTTAAATACACTTTGATCCATTGGTTAAGGTCAAAGGACAAAGCTGCTGGTTGGAGACTTTCCTTCAGAGGGAAGAAGAATCGAGCTGTTAAGAAAAACGAGAACTGAAAACACAAAAAAGCCCGTTTACACAATGTTTCATAATTATTCACTTTCAATATTTATATCATTCAATTAACTTTTCATGCTTTTTGTTGATGTTTCTATTTTTAGTTTTATTTTTTATTTGTTGGTTTCTGAAGTCTGATTTGGTTTTTATTCCCATCTAGGATGGAGGACACAGCTGTTTATCCACCATGTCAGGTGACCATGAAGCCGTTCCTGATCAGGTAAATCAATAATATGAGCGGGACAAAACGTTCTGCACCTGAATCCAAACAAAATGGAAGTAATATCATTTTTGGACCAAAGGAAGAGGGTTCTAACGTCAGCTAGAAACCAGCGACCGGGCTCTATATCTGGGTGCACACTGGAAAAACGATCAAGAAATAAGTAAAAATTTCTTAAATTAAGTGTATTTATCCTTAATTTGAGCATGTAAACAAGATTATTTGCCAATGGAATGAGTATTTTTACTCTTAAAATAAGATAATTAGATAATATGCACTTGAAATAAAACAACGCAGTTGAGTTTTCTTATTTTAAAAGCAAATTGTCTTGTTCTGTTGGCAAAATGTCTCTTTTACGTCCTCAATTCAGGAACAAATGCACTTATTATAAGAAAAAAAGGACATATCTAGAGTTTGATTCTTTCCAGTGCAGTGATGGACCCAGATCTGAACCTTCATGAAGACAGGAGCAAAGTGGGTCTTCTATCCCATAAAGCACACTGGAAAAAGTAAAAAAAAAAGTTGTTTTCTCTTAAAATAAGCACATTTATTCTTGGATTGAGGAGGTAAAAGATACATTTTGCCAATGGAACAATAAAAATAAGAAAACACAATTGCATTGTCTTATTTCAAGTCCATATTATCGAATTATCTTATTTTAAGAGTAAAAATACTCATTCCATTGGCAAACTCTCTCATTTACCTACTGAAATTAAGAGTGAATACACTTAATTTAAGACATTTTTATTATTTCTAGATCGTTTTTCCAGTGCAGTGATTCCTCAGGAACCTGCCCTGCATGTCTTAGAGTTCCAGTGCTGCAGAAGCCTGTTAATCATCCATTTTTTTCTGGTGCGTTGCAACAGAGAAACACCTAAAACATGCAGGACTGGAACCCCAGAGATGTCAACCACTGACCTAAAGAACGTCTCCAGGATTAAAGATCTAATGTCTCAGCAGGACATTGAAAGAAATTCCTTGATCCCTGCAGCGGTGTTTTCACAGATCGGCCTAAAAAAGGATCAGACAGCTGCAGCTGATCCAGACCGCTGCTGCCTGCGTCCTCACTAGAGCTAAGAAAGTAGAGAACATCAGCCCAGTGAGACAGTCCATCCTTCGTATGTCAGAGAATAGATTTAAAATCCTTCTGTTAGTGGATCGACAGCCAGACCTCTCAGGTCTACTGGATCAGATCTATTCTCCAGACTCAGAACCAAAAGCTTTTATTTCTCCCGCTCCAATAACCTGGAGAAACTGACAGTAAACTGTAAAATAGCTCAAACTCAAAGTTGTTTCAAATCCAGATTAAAAGTCATTAATTTAGAGACGTTTGACTGAGATATAAACATAATTAAGTTTTCAGTCCAGTTTACCTTTTTTAATTAATCTCATATATAAAATTGTCTTATTTCAATTATCACTGCTACTGTCTGTATTATTTATACTCTGCCTCCTGTCTGAATTGCCTCACTGCTGAAAGGAGCTATAGAAATAAACTTGCTGTGACTAAAAGGCCAAACTAAGATCAGGAAAAGATGTGAAAGTATCTCAGATTTAAAATATGACCAGAAAAGCAGCTACACGTGTCGATCGATCGGCTCAGATGGAAACACTGATGAAGGGTTAAAATTTTGACTTTTTCCACCTTTATCTCCGTCTCGCTGCAGCATTAGCCTTGTGAGACCATCCTGATCTCGCGAGCTTTCAAGGTTTCACTCGCAGATCAGTCTGGAGACTCTTCGTTAAAGAAAATTTGGAGCCGTTCACCAAACGAACGTCCAATCAGCGTTGGCTTTGAGGCGGGTTGAGGTGTGACGCAACAAGAAGCGCGACAGTTCAGTCTAAAGAACATGGCGGCTTCAGCCGATGAAACTAGCGTTAGCGTGGCTATCAGGCAAGTTTTATGGGAATTACAGAGTATTTCTTCACTGAAAGAAGAGCAAAACACTGCTCTGAAGGCTTTTCTCAGAGGAAAAGATGTTTTTGCTCTTCTCCCGACTGGTTTTGGCAAGAGTTTGATCTATCAATTGGCTCCTCTTCGTCGTCGCTCTGTTAGTACGTCATATGCTTCGTTGATCTGATTGGTTTATTTGGCCCGTCTATCACCAACATAGGCCAATCAGCTAACCAGTATTTTCGCCCCTTCCCAAAATTACTTCAACGGAAGGTTTCCAGATGGATATGCAGAGCAAATCCATCTGGCGGAGTCAGGTTACTGCAGCATAGCAGGTGGCTGTGATATCTGGAGCTGGTTAAACGGTAATATGAAGCAAACCTTCTGATCAGGACATGTAAAAGTGGATGTGAGGCAGTGGGAAGTGAAAAGAGTCCTGCTCTGATTAGCATGCTTACCTGGGAGCCCTTCACCTCGGTGTGCACAGCCACAGGAACGCTGCAGCCGCCCTCCTATCAATACAAGCCAAGCTGAATAAGAGTCCGGCTGTGAGCCACAGGAAGTGAGGCAGAGCAGGTTGCTTTTAGACGTACCAGCTGTTTGAGGAAAGCTCTCTCAGCGATGCAGCGCAGCACAGTGTCCGGGTCATGGAGGACAGACACCATCTCCAGGATATCTACATCTCTGGCCCGGACCTCTACGGCTAAAGCTCCCTGAAGACAAACACACAGATGAGAATCGGAAACAGGAACAAGCACATGATCAATGGGCCGTCGTAGTTTGGGCTTCTACCTGTCCAACAGCATACATGCAGTCTTCAGGCTCCAGGATCTAGCAGAAGAGAAACAAAGTTTGTTAGATAGAAACAAGGAGAGAGAAAGCTTAGACGGAGGACTGGAGGGTACCAGGCTGATTCGGTCCTCCCATCCCATCCGCTTGAGGCCGGCAGCCGCCAGAATGATGGCAGCAAAGTCGTCCTTCTCGTCCAACTTCTTCAGACGCGTGTTCAAGTTCCCGCGCTGGAAAACCGGTTAAGAAAACACCAACTGCACTAAATACTGGAGGAAAACTCTGCAAACGTTCTGACAAAATATTAACCTTCCTTTGAAACCAGAGGCTGATGTTATTCAACGCTTAAGGCGTTCACTGTCTGATTTTTTGTCCTTTTCGTGAGAATTTTTCCATCGGGGCTTCTTTCACCTCGTCATGCGTGGTACAGGGGGTAACGAGGGACGATCTGCCTCTAACGGCCACCTTCCCATCAGGAATTATAAGGTTAGGAGAAAATCAAACTCAAACTCAGTCAGACGTCATAAGATGGAAGTAGGCAAATCGCTCCGCGGGCAAACAAGGATTCTTCTTCTTCCTCTCAGATGTAAACCCAGCAGCATGGCGGGTGTGCAATGAGTGAAATGGAGTTCTTTCTGTCAAACTGTCAGACCGTAGTAGCCATGTTTGCTCCGCCATGTCTTTGTCTAAATACGTCGTCTCCTTTTCTTTTTAGGGCTTTTAGGCCAAAATTCCCCAAATATCCAAGGCAGCGCGTTTCACTCTAGTAGCTTCATATTTATCTGCTACTGGTTTGGCTTCCAGATAGACGAGTCCGAGTATCGCCATCTCACTGCGGAGCTGAGTCCCACCTGGTTTTTAGTCGTACAGTGTGAGCAGGTGGATCGCATCAGAGCGTCGGGTCGCAGCGTGTGAGAGCAAACATCGTAAGGCGTGAACTTTTATACCCTGCGGTTTCACCGTACAGTGTGAGCTGTAGCTGCATATAACGATTGAAAAAAATCGTACAGTATAGCCCCGTCCACACGAAGTCAAAACAAACACGAAACGCTAATATTTTCCAGAACGTCTGTCGTAAAGACGGAGACGTAAAATAAATGTGATCGTCCACACGAATGCATGAAAATGCTGCAAAATGTATGCCAGGCCTGTAAGTGGCGCTGTGGTGCCAAAGCAAAAATAGGCGACGAAATGTTGGACATGCGCACTAATATTTATACATGGTTGCCCTGCGGGTCCATTTTCGTGGTTCAGTCAAATTCAGGTGCTGAACTATGTCGTCGATATTGCTCTGTTCTTCCTGGAGATATTCCAGAAGAAGAAGATTCTGTTGTAAGCCCGACAGCAGGGTGAGTAGCATGAGCAGCAACCATTCAACACAGTACGGCGCCATTGTTGTTGTGATACTGTGTCGCGCATGCGTGTTTAGAGGCGACGCTATGACGCATGCGTGTAAGAAAGAAAATGCGGTTAGAGCTTAAAGATGGAAACGCGAAAACGGCGTTTCAAAATCTTCCCACTCTGAAGGCTTAATTAAAAAAACGATCATTTACAGACTCCCGAAACGCCGGCTTCGTATGGATGAGAGGCTGGTTTGGTGAAAAATTTGTGCGTTTAGGCCAGGGTTCAGCTTCGTGTGGACGGGGCCTATATGCCCGGCTTTAGGAGGAACAAGAGTTTGAAGCACGTTTGTTTTCAGACGCTATTTAATCTGAAGGTCTCAGTGAACGAATGAACCCATCATCTGAAGCTGGAAGGAAGCACCACACACCCACTAACACTCAACTGTCCTGATCAAACACCTGGAAAAGGAGGGAAGCAGCCCAGAGGCCTGTGGTCACACTGGAGGAGCTGCAGGGATCCACAGCTCAGGTGGGAGGCCCTGGACTGGAAAAAATAAACTTTAATTTGCAGACTGATAAAGTTGGTGAAGATTCTCACTCATCCAGCTCAGTCATTCCGAAGAAAAGTTCCAATTTAAGTGTTGAGTTCGAGGCTTTATAGAGCGGACTATAAATAAAGCCTTGTTTTTGCTTAGAAAACATGCAAATTGAAAGGGACATTCTTTGGAGGACCAGAATGTTCACATTTTGGACAAAGAAGACAGCTGGTTTGATAGAGACATGAAGGAAGCCATCTATGTCAAGAGAGAAAAAGCAACCTTAAATACTATCAGCGCAACCCCTTTGCAGGGAAACAGAGGACCTCGCCTATTCAGCCAGACCAACAATTCACTCTAACGACCCCCATTACAGAGACATAGACAGGTATGGGGAGTTCCAGTCTAACAAAGAAGCCAAACACCCCCCATTCCTTAGGGGCAGACCCATGCTTCAGGTTCAGTTTGCATCTTTTCTAAGCCAAAACAAGGCTTTGTTTTTTTTCCCGCTCTTTAAAGCCTCGAACTCAACCCTATTTCTGACATTTTCAATAGAAAAAGCTTCCTGGATGCGAAGAGAAACGTCTTCAATCTTGGAAACTTTTTTTAACTTTTCATTGGAATGACTGGTTAGGTTTTTAAAATGTTGAACTGAAGTCAGAATGTAGAGGAAACTGAAAACTGATCAGATGAAAACAAAACTAAACTTTTAGGCTGATCTGCAAAAATGTATCAGTGAGCTTCACCCAAACTACACCGTCCCCAGGAGGAAACACGGCAGCGGCAATATCATGCTGAGGGGATCGCTTTCTTCAGGAGAAGAAAGATAAATCCAGGAAAAGCTTATAGAGGCTGCAGAAGGCTCCAGTAGGACGACCGCCCTGGACATCCAGGGTGAAGAAGGGCTCCATCCTTTAGTCTCCAGATGAATAGAAAACTTTGCGGGTTTTATTCTCAAAGATGAACAGCTCGGTCCTGTACAACCATCCATGAAGAGGATGGGAGCATTTCAGAGCAGATAAACCATTTAAAGGATCTGTCCATCGATCATCAGAAGTTCCTCTGTGGTTTTCTCTCAGACCATCCTTCCACCTGTTTAACTGAGCTGATGAGGACCAGAAAACTCTAACAAAGGATACGATATCTTTAAACTCCAGGTGGGGAAACCTCTTCTTCAGCTGGGCAGCTCGCCGTAATGAACTCGTGCCAATCACACTGCACACAGATGGAGAAACCATGAAGAACGATCTGCTCCTTCAGGCTGAGTAAACACCAGGCGTCCATTACTGCTCCTACCTTTTCTCTGGCAGACTGTCCAGAGTTTTCCCTGCATGGTTTGGATGGAGCACCACTGCATCATGGGGGTTCTCCCTCCTGAAACAAAGGACACAACATGATCTCCTGATTAAACCACAAATATTCATCTTTCCTTCTAATACATGGGAGCAGCACATCTGGAGCGTCAGACCTCCTTCCAAAGCAGATGTTTGACCCAAATGTCATGAAATAGACCAAATAAAGGCCTTAAAATGATTAAAGGTGCAGCAAACAGGAAGTCCGACTGAGCTCAGAAACTGGGGAAGGATTCCTCCTGGACTTTTTGCATATCAGGAACTCCTCATAATAGCGCCCTACCACACTGAGCTGTTATCATCTCTGTTGGGAGCTTTTTCCATGCTCCAAATCAAGCTTACTTACTTCAGCACGGCTCCGATGGTGAATCCTGCAGGCAGGGTGGTGGGCAGATCTTTCAGCGAGTGAACGACCAGGTCGACCCTGCAGTCAGAGCAGAGGAACATAGCTTAGAACGGCTCCATTCATGTTTCCTGTCTGAAAGACTTCATTCAGCTGCAGACTACAAGCAGCTGCTACATCTGAAGCAGCTCAGATGGTAAAGATCTCATCTGGTAAACGGTGCCTCACTGCAGTATCTATACCAGAGATTAACCAATGAATCAGATTAATGAGACTCTACTACATGCCTTAAGATGACAGAGCAGTAATTATACCAAAATTGTAAAAGAAAAATTATATAAACATTTTCCATTTAAGATAAAACAAACTATTTAATCTGTCAATCTGCTTCAAGGAGAACTCCTCAGGTGAAAAGGTTTTAGTTTCACTTGGTTTAATCTCCCAAAAAGTCTTCTTAAATAATCAAGAGATTCATCGATTTACAAAATAATCATTAGTTGCAGACCTAATTTATACCTGATCATCTCTCTACTCATTACAGCAACAAACATCCAATGTTAGGAGAAGCACCTTCTCTGCTGTCAAAGCTGGATGGATGGATGGATAGAGGATGGATGTTTATTCTGTCTGTAAAAATGGTCCAAACCGAACTCTTTTCTCTTTGTGTTTTCCGCCAAAGTGAAGGTGTTTTCCTTTACAATAGCGTCTCTCTTTCTGTCAGACGCATTCAATTGCTTGTGAACTGCTTAATAGTCTGACTAAAATAGACCTGGGATCTATCTGAGTTAGAGCTACGCAGCCACCAGCAGAAAACTGTGTCGGTTGTGATCATCCCCCCTGACGCTAAAAGCCACAACCTCTATGATGCGATTTTCTGTCGGATCAGAAGCTAAATTGTATTCTGTTTGTTCAGGGCTTTAAGTTTTCAGATTTTACCTGCTAAAGAAAAAATATGTAAATAAAGGTCATAGGAGGTTAATACTATGTTAATCAGAACCAACAGCAGGATGATTTTTTTAAACCTTTGAGTTGTGTTTAATTGATTGAATATTAAACTAATTTCTTCCCATTAAAAAGCCTTAGATTCTTCTTCCTGTTGGACCCAAACCCAAATTACCCGAGTCATACAGACACTCACTCATTCCTCTCCAGGGCGTTCTCCAACTCTTTGGTGAACAAACTCTTCTCACCGATCTAAAGGAAACACATTTAAAAAGCACATATTGTCGGTTAGCTCCATGTTTTCTACTTCAGGATGATGGTTCTGGTTTCACTGGAAAACAGGCTGACTTATTGGAGACATTCAGCTGTAGATGGCGCTCCTTTAGCTGAGCTGCAACATGGTTCATAGTTTGTTTGGCTGCAATAATAATTAAAATGACAGTGGGTAAATATAACAGCATCATCTGCATACAGGATTATAGTAAAACATTTTAAAAAGAACTATAACTAATCAAAATATATAACAAGATTCAGTTTCTGATCAACAAAGGTTCAGTTTCTGCTGTGAGGGTAAAACTTCTGAATTAAACCACTTGAAGTGAACAGAAACCAATAACAGGATCTACAGCATCAGTGTCTGTTAATAAAGTCCTGGAGAAAAAGGTCTTTGCTTTGCTTTAAAAAGTAAAACTGTTTATTGCATATTCATAATTATTAAGCAGCACCATAATAAAATCTTTTAAATCTATTTTTTATAATTAGATCAGATCTCTGTAAACAGAAATATACAGTATTTGAACATCCTGGTTTTTGCAAGTTCCCCCACTTAGAAATCATGGAGGGGTCTAAAATTGTCATTGCATGTGCATGTCGGCTGTGAGAGACATAATCTAAGAAAAATAATCCAGAAATGCCAATATATGATTTTTTAAAACTATTTATTTGTATGAATCAGCTGAAAATAAGTATTTAAACACCTATAATTCTGACCCTAGATTCTGAAGGCAGACTAACAGGTCTGCCTTCAGAAAACCGCCTCCCAGAGGCCCGTCTTCAGCCAAAGATCATCTGGATGATCCAGAGGAGTCATGAGAGAAATTCATGCGATCAGATGAGACCAAAATAGAACTGTTTGGTCATTATTCTACTAACCGTGTTTGGAGGTAGAAGAATGATGAATACCATCCCAAGAACACCTTCCCTACTGTGAAGCATGGCGGTGGCAGCATCATGCTTTGGGGTGTTTTTCTGCACATGGGACAGGGAGACTGCTCTGTATTAAGGAAAGGATGACCAAGGTCATGTATTGGGAGATTTTGGGGAATAACCTCCTTCCATCAGTTAGAGCATTGAAGATGGGTGGAGGCTGGGTCTTCCAGCATCACAATGACCCGAAAGCACAGAGCCTGGATAACCAAGGAGTGGCTCTGGAAGAAACATATGAAGGTGGCCGAGCCAGTCTCCTGACCTAAACCCAATAGAGAGCCTTTAGAGGGAGCTCAGACTCCGTGGTTCTCAGCAATGGTTCTTGACTGATCAATGAAGATCTGTGTAGAGGAATGGGCCAAAATCTCTCCTGTTGTGTGTGCAAACCTGGTGAAAAACTACAGGAAACTTTTCACCTCTAGAATTGCAAAAAAGGCTACTTTACCAAATATTAGCTTTGATTTTCTCAGGTGTTCAAATATTTATTTGCAGCTGTATCAAACAAAAATAGTTCTTAAAAAAATAATATATTGTGACTGTGGATTTTTTGTTTAGATTCTGTCTCTCAGAGTGGACGTGCACCAATGATGACAATTTCAGACCTGCCATGATTTCTAAGTTGCGAATTTGCAAAATAGCATGGTGATTCCACATCCTCCGTCAGCGCTCCGCCCCGCTCATGTATGTCGTGCACAGAGATGGCAAAAGTACTCACTTTCCGTACTTGAGTAAAGGTACAGATACTTGTGTTAAAAAATACTCTGGTAAAAGTGGAAGTACTGATTAAACTTCTTTACTCAAGTAAAAGTAACAAAGTACAGGCTTGTAAATTTACTTAAAGTATAAAAATAAAAGTAGAAGCCACTTTTTTCATGCCGTTGCCTACATTTTAAATGGATGTCTGCCAATAGGACTAGATCTCCGTTGTGTTCATTTTCAATCATCTCGTCGTCCATGCTACTATGCTAACGCCACCGCCACCAAGCTGCAATGATTTGCCGCCAATGAATACCGCCGAATCTGTCGATTCATCTTGTAGTGGTGCGTCAAATGCAACCTAGATTCCCATCCAATTAGATTGAATTTGGTATTGATGATGTGAAAAATAATAACGGTAACTCCATTGAAATGATTCAAAACTAAAGTAACGAGCCAATTTTTAAAAATGTAAGGAGTAGAAAGTACAGATATTTGTGTAAAAATGTAAGGAGTAGAAGTAAAAAGTCTCCATAAAAATAAGTAGTAAAGTAAAGTAAAAATATCAGAAAAATCTACTTGAGTACAGTAACGAAGTATTTGTACTTCGTTACTTCCTATCTCTGGTCGTGCAGATACTTGTCTGCCATGTTGATCAATGAGAACTGTTCCACATCCGCCGCTACCCCTCCATCCGTTACCATCAAAATACGGATCCGAGCTCGGATCCACAATTGCAGTCGCACCAAGCAGCAAACAGAACGCCAAGAAGATCCGGTTTGTCAAATTAAAATATAGTAACGACCAATCGGTAACTACAGATTAGAGCATAATTCTTCCCAAAAACTAAGACCGTTTAATTCAATGATTGGATGCAAACTACTGGTACCTCAACATACCAGGAAACAGAATTCTCATCTTGATCAAAATATTTATTTTATACCGAGAGGCTTAAAAGTTTAATGAAATCCAGTCACAACAACTTTTAAGAGCGAATCTCACAAATTCAAAACACTGCAAAAAAAATCTAAAAATAAGTTAAAAAATTCTTACATTTTGTGTTTTTATCCTTAATTTGAGCAGGTAAATAGGATGATTTGCCAATGGAATTAGTATTTTTACCCTTAAAATAAGATCATTAGATAATATGCTCCTGAAATGCAACAATAAAATAGTTGTTTCTTATTTTAAATGTAAATTGTCTCGTTCCAAAAATGCACTTAATTTAAGAAAAAAATGTACTTAGAATCGTCTCATCGCAGGCATGGATGAAGAGATGCTGAGTTTTGAGGTTAAAACAAACATAGTTCATATAAACCATGTATGATCCTAGTTATCAACGTTTCAAAAAACCACAACAAAAAGAAAATAATTGGGCAGAAACTGCACTATGCTGGATGCTGATGGGGATTTTTTTAAATATGTCATTAAATTAAGCGTTTTTTCCACGTTTTGCTCCCATGAATTCAATGAAAATATTGCGCATGCTCTTCTCCAGCTCTGAGGAAGTCGGAGCGGCGCAGGATGGGAGACACAGCGGAGGCAGTAGGCTTTGCTTTGCACAGCATTCTGGAACGGACCGGGTCGGTCACGCAGGATGTGGGATTTTACGAGTAAGAGACATATTTGTTGCTTGTTTTTATCTTTTAGGAAAATTAATAGAAAATCAAAGCTTTCTAAATCTATTTTAATTGTGACGGACCAGCAGAGGCTCCGCCTGCCTGGTAGCTCGCCCCTGATGTGTCAAACAAAGACCTTACCTTGGATAGAGCTGTGTCCAGGATTTTATCTCCTATCGTTGACATGGCAACTGAAAGACAGAAGATGTTTGTCAGCGATAGTAACTAGGAATGTGAGGAAATGTTTCTTTTCTGTCTCCATCAAACTGGAATCCCACCATAAGCCCTGGATAGTTTATAGGAAGAAGCTGCAGGAGTTGAAGCACAGCGTGTTTCTCTGCCACAGCCTGTTAGAACCTGAAGGACTAACTTCTAGAACAAGTTAAGAAGTCAGCAGGTCTGGTTCCTAAGCAGGAAATTCTGAGGAAGCGAGGGTGGATCTGCCACAGCTCCCCGTGTGACTCATTTCTAAGGTAGATTGTGTAATCCTGACAGTTAGAGCCGCTCCAGAGTAGATAAGGACTTTAAAAATGTGAGTTTTCTGATTCCTTCCTCAAACCTGATAAGGCAGCTCCATTTCTAACCATTACTCCCTGCATGAGGCGGCCTCTGAGGCGCAGCAGCAGAGAAACAGCTGGAGCTCAGATGCTAACCTGTGGCTCTTTGGTCTCCTGACCAAAGAGCCACAGGTTACTGTAAAGCACGGTGGTGACAGAATGATTCACTTCCATTCAGTTTATTTCTGTAGCTCCAGTTCACATCACGTCATCTCAAGGCACTTTACAATTGACCAAGTCATACAGTCAGATTGATTCAAAGTTTTCTATCCAAGGAAAACGGGCTGATTGCATCGACTCATTGACTCTTCAGCAATCCCTCACACTAAGCATGCTTGTAGCGACAGTGGAGAGGAAAAACTCCCTTTGAACAGGAAGAAACCTCCAGCAGAACCAGGCTCAGTGTGAGCGGCCATCTGCTGAGGCCGACTGGGGTTCAAGGAGACAGAAGCAGACATAGAAAAAGAAGCATAGATACAAAAGGCAACTGTCAACCAGCTCCACAGGCGGCCCCGTCCAGGAAACACACAGCCAGGCAGACGAGCTCCGAGCCAGCTCCCATGTCAGAGGATGAAGAGAGCACATCCAGTTAGTCATAGTCAGAGAAACAGGACTACACTGAAAAACAGGCCGCTCTCCAGCATCTATAAACAAAGGTGTTGATGGCAGCAGCACAGCTGATATTTCTCTCCAGGATGGAGTCACAGCCAAACAGGAACAGACCAGATGAAGCTACTTTGAGAAAAAGCAGAGAGAGCAGAACGTTAGAGATTGAACTAACAGATTCTGCAGAGTGGGAGAATAGAGATAGAATGAAGCAGATGATGAAAAAGGGGTCCCTATGTCCTCCAGCAGTCTAAGCCTATAGCAGCAGAACTATAGAGATAGCTCAGGATAACCTGAGCCACTCTAACTAGAAGCTTTATCAAAAAGGAAAGTTTTAAGTCTAGCCTTAAAAGTAGACAGGGTGTCTGCCTCACGGACTAAAACTGGTAGTTGGTTCCACAGGAGAGGAGCCTGATAACTAAAAGATCTGCCTCCCATTCTACTTTTAGAAATTCTAGGAACCACTAGTAAACCTGCAGATTGAGAGCGAAGTGCTTTGTTAGGATGCAGAGTGTCTGTTAGCTGCCATCCAAGCTGGGTCCATCCTGAACTTCAAATGTGCCAAATGGGTTTGACAGCTGAAGAAGAGTGGAGACCCTACAGCAGTCGGACCCGGACGCATTCTGCCGACTGGTTCTGGTTCCTATCAGAGGAAAACATGTAACTCTCACCTATTTCCAGGTGGACGTCGGGGTAGAGCTCCTTCAGCCTGTCGGCCACGCTGTCCGTCTGGATGCGGGCCAGCTGCAACAGAACAGAACCATGATGTGGCGGCTTCAGATACTTCACAGCTAACAGAACATCAGTCCGGTCTGAGAGACGCGGCGAGGAGCGGAGGAGCGTACCTGGCTCTTACGGGTTCCGATCCGGATGACCCGGCTGACTCTGCCGTTCCCATCCTACAGGGGCACAAACACAGCGGGTCAAACAAACAGCCAGAAGCGTCTCACAGGTGTCCTAACCCACCCCCCCTCTGACCCAGATCACGATCCATCACCCTCACCCTGGTGTACTTGTACGGCCCGTCCTCCATGGCTCAGTCCCTGCTGCGTTTCTGAGCAGAGCGCCGCGCTGACTGAACTATATCATCTCCCGACTCACTGACCCCCCCCTCCCCATCAACGGATCCCTGCTCCTGACAGATAAGTGTCACAGTTAGCAAAGCCGTTAGGGATGGGCAGCTGGGGGAGGGAGGGTGTGGTCTGAACCGCAGTCAGGCGTCACAAAGAGAAGATCTCCTTCTTCCTTAGAGGAAACGCGTCAGAAACTCAGACCTTCCTGCTCCACAGTCAACACTATAAATAACTAAGAGTCATCCATTAGCAGAAACGTCTCTGAACTTCCTGGGTCTGAACCGGGGGGGGGGGGGGGATTTCAAATGTTTGTCACCAAAAACTCAAAAATAGCTGAAAGAGTCAAACACTAAAGACATTTCTGAGGAAATTTACATTAATCGACAATATTATTCATATCCGTCCTTCAGAGGATCATTGGACTCATTCTCCTCCATCTGTTCTCCTTCACACTGGAAAAATTATCTAGAAATTAATAAAAATGTCTTAAATTAAGTGTATTTACCCTTAATTTGAGTAGGTACATGAGATAGTTTGCCAATGAAATGAGTATTTTTAGTCTTAAAATAAGATAATTAGATAATATGCACTTCAAATAAGACAATGCAATTGTGCTTTCTAATTTTAAGTGTAAATTGTCTTGTTCCATTGGCAAAATGTCTCTTTTATCCAAGAACAAATGCACTTATTTTAAGAAAAAAATGACTTATTTAGATTTCGATTTTTCCCAGCTTTCATAGGACAAGTTACCGTTTCTGATCACTTTACAAACGGAAATTTATATCCAGCCAATCAGCTAAGATCCTGCTAAATGGCTCTACGTGTTATTTTGGTATTTGACCAATTAAATGAGCCCTTGAATGATATATTATCTGTTGTAAATTAAGCTGAAAAATAGGTAACAATTTAGGGGGAAAAAAGTAAAAAGCTAAATCAAAAAGTAAAAAAAGTAAGAAATGTGATCTCCTGTATTACCGTAGCTTTAAAGCTCTAAGGTTATGCTGTAAAAAATAAACAGTTTCTTTTTATGGATTTTTTATAGAAGCATGTGTCATTTTTTGTTAATATATGACGTAAAGTGGCTGTTTCTTCACATTGACCTTAATCTTTGCCATCAAAATATCCATGTTATCCAATAACACTCTTGGCTTGAAATGTTCATTTTCACAGTATTTGACTGAGCGCCCTATAAAGGGTTAAAATAGGAACAAACTGTGTTCTTATTCAGTTCCTCTCTAAAACGTCACAGCCTGCTTAGCTGCACCACTAAACTTCCTCTGGTTCAGTTCACATCCATCCAACCAATCCCCCAAAATGTGCTGCCCACTTATTAGGGTCAATACAGCTTTTTCTGGCTCCATCTACATGAAGATATGAGCAAAATGTTACTGATATCGGCCCACATCATCCAATCCACCAATAATCCAACATTGACTAATGATCTCAATCTGATACTGGATGAATGACATCCATCCAGTCATTTCCATCGACTCATTTCTATTTTTATTAATATCACACATTTACAGTCTCAGCGGTTTACAGCGAGTTTCAGCTGCTGATATTTTAAAGTTTAAATGAAGGTGATATTTCTTTCTTTGCTGCTATTTTCTCTTTTATTTGTTAGTAAATAATATAAAGCACATTTATGCCAAAATAATCCCATTTAAAGAATTTTAATGCCAATTCAGCCCTTAATTTAAAAAAATAATTATTTAATGACTTTTAATGATTTTTAATGACCCACGGAACCCCTGGCTAAATATATGACAGATATATTCACAGAGAGCTGCAATACTTCCAGATCCAGCCAGGTCCTCATCAGTGGAAAACTACAGTTTTTCATGGACTCTAGTGTGGTAACATCTCACCAAGGCCTGGAGCTGGACCCAAACTGAGCCTCCAGGTCAAAGGTTGGGATGATCAGAGCATGAAGACAGTTTTCCCTGCTCCAAAATGTCCTGTTCAAACTTTACTGCTCAAATGGACTAACCAAACTCCTCCTGAAAGCGAGATTTACTGGTCTGTTTAAACACGATAACCAGAGAAAGGTCTGGAGGAATCAAGATGAAGGTTTCTGACATTAGAAAAGAGATTAAATCAGAACCAGGCCCAGATCAGGGCTCAAACACTCAACAAAATGTTTTCTGAATTTTCCCTCCATGGGACAATAGAGCCTCTTTATAATCTAATCCAGGGAAAATCCCAAATACATCCCTGCTCTCCCACTACTTCATTATTAGAAAATTACTGTGCAGATGTTTAAATTCATGAAGGCGAACAAAAACATCTTCTAATCTGAAACTAAAAAATAGACATAGTTTTGATTGTCATGATGAGCTGAGTTTGCATTTGATCCCAGGTTTAGTCTAAGCTGTAATAAAGGGCTGGATCTGAGTTTTTTTAACCTGGATCAGAGTAGAAGATGTCTGAAGGTCTTCAGCAGGACACATGTGATCTACAATGATCTAAAACAAATGCAAAACATTTATAATATTTGTTAAAACACGAGAATATGTCAAGAACTGATCCCAGAGCTGTGCTAAAAACAAACATTACCGGATTATTCCTAATAAAGGAGGAAGCCAAAATAAACTGAATCCTTTCTAGGAAATTAATCTATTCTATTCAAACGAAGAACACTAAAAACATTGATTTTAGGAACCACGTGACTGATTTCTATGTCTTTTTACGATTTAAAATAGTGGGCATGGTCTGTGACACTTTGTAAAAATGAACACATTCAGTGAAGGTAGTTATAAAACTATAACAAACCGACGATGTCGGCCGTTGATTATTTGAATAAAGGTTTTTGAAAAACACATAAAGTGATCTGTTAAATCTTTACTCTATTTGTTTAATTCTGTTTAGCGAGAATGAAAAGTGACAGGCTGTTCCCTGACTCCACCTTCAAGCACCGCCTCCTCTAGATGTCCTGTCCAATCCAAACCCTACCTTCACAAACAGACATAAACAAGAGCCAATCAACGTGCCGTAAAAGAGTGACGCAGGCGGAAGTAGAACCAGGCGCCCTGAAAGTCATGGTTGGAGCAGAAAGAGGATGAATTGCTAAAACCTACCTGTGAGCTCGCCTCCTCTGTCATGGCGGTTCTCTGTTTGTCAGCCTGGTTAGCGGCGGTCAGCAGAATGCTCTGTTCCTCTCTCTGACCATCAGAAAATACTCAATCCTCGTGAAACCTCTGAGCCGCTCTGCACTCCGTTGAATGAGCATGGGAACCTCTGATGTCGTCACACCAAGTGCAGATCATTTCCTTCTTCCGTCTAGCGCCCTCTAGGGGAAGACGGTAGTAAGAATGCAAAGATCCAAAGTCACGGAGAGATATGGCAGAACGTTTGTCATAAATATCCAAACGTATCAATGATCCAGGACTTAAAAGTAGTCATTTAGACTTTAGATCATATCAAAAACTTAATATTTTCTAGGTAAACTACAGTTGATTACATTATTAATTATGTTTTTACAAGTAAAAATATATTTTTGATGTTATGAATTATGAACTAGATATCTGCAATATTTTAATAGGAAACAAAATTTCTGACCAGTTAGATTGGAAATTCTTTTTTAGATATCCAGAATTTTTATTTTAGATCAGTGTTGTTTTTGACAGCCATCTTAGATTTAGTCTTAGTTTTCATCTTTAGAATGAAAACTATCATTAGGTTTAATTGAAACTTTATTAATCTCATACTGGAGAAATCTACCTCTGCATTTAAACCATCCTCTGGGGGAGCAGTGGGCTGCCACCATGCAGCGCCCGGGGAGCAGAGTGGGGTTAAGGGTCTTGCTCAGGGACTCAGAGTGCAGACTGTGGGGATCGGACCGGGTACTTGCAACCTTCTCAGAGCACAAGCGCACTGCTCTAACTAGGCTAACACTCCCAAGTTGTCACATTTTAATCATTACTATAATTGATAGTTGTAGTCCAGTGTATACTAAAACTCAAAAAGGTTTTAGTCTAGACTTAGACAACTTTTATTGTCATATTCATCTAGTACAGTATTTCAGACAGTAAATTAACATTTCCATTCCATAATGTGCAGCAGTGACCAAATCTAAACAGCGTGGGAGAAAAAACATGGTGCAAAAACGCAATTATATGTTAGTCAGTTTTATGTTGCACTTCATAAAAAAGTTAACCTTTAATCATCCTGCCTACCAAAATTATCTGAATGGATGGGTGATCTAATGTTGTACCTTAAATTAGAAAAGCTCCATTAATAAAATATTTTGAAAAGCTTAAGACACTTCCTGAGAATGTCATGATCTCGGCGCTGATGGTTTGGTTTTTTCCTTTGCTCCTTGCTTTCCTGTCTAATTGGTTCTGCGGCTGATTATTGCCGATCATTTCCACCTGGTTCCTCTACAATTTAAGTTGTGTGTTTGCCTCCCATCAGCGCCGGGTTATTCTTGTGTTTTTGAGATACGTTCCCCAGCAATCTGTAGTCTGCCTGTTTCCCTGATAGTGACCAGTTTCTGCCCTGAGGATTTCGAGTTTTTTGCCTTGCCCCTGTCTGCTCTGTTTGTCCTGTCTGATCCTGGATTCTACCGGCTTCTGAACCTGGAACTGTCGTCTGACTTCGGCCTTGGATTTCCCCTCTGGACTCTGTTGCTGCTCGGCGTCTGCTGCGCGCTCTCTAGGAACTCTGGGGGCGTCTCCTGCCGCACCTGCGGTCAAACCTCAGCAAACGGACTGAACTTTGAATCAGGTCAGTGACTGCTCCAAATCGTGTTAAGCTCCATATCCAGTCACTGATCTGTATTCTCCCATTTCTGCAGAGAGCCGCCCCGCAGCAGACGAGCAGCCCCGCGCACCTGTTTTTGCTAAATAAACGCTTTGAACTTTCCCACTGCCTGTCTCGCCTCGAATTCTGGGTCCTACATTCTGAGATCATTACAGAGAATCCCTGAGAGTAATGCAGCAAAATCTGATGGCCAAGACCTACACAACTTAAGCACATATAATAAATAAGGCTTGTCTTTTTCTTTTATGTATGGTAGGAATATGTGTACATATATGCATATACATTGTTAATTTTTATTACTGTGTTTATGCAACACCCTAGTGGTTGTATTTTGTATTTGTAGTGAAGACTTCTATTTTCTATTTGTGTTCCTTTGCTTTTTGGTCTAAGATGTATATGTTTATATAAATGACTCGCAAATGTTTTCTTATTACTTTTTTATTTTGAGGGTAGGCGTACAGTAGTTAACCTTTACAATTTCAAATAACAGCCAGATTCTTTACAGACTGGCAGCTCTATCCTAGATTCTATATTTGTTAGAACGCTGCCATGCAGTTCATCATTGCTGTTGGGCAGAAAACTTTAATTTATCAAATTCAAATAAACTTTTTTATGAATCAATGCCCTAATATATATATAAAAAAAAGGTGTCTTACAAAAGCTGTGAAAAAAGCAGATCTAGTTAATATAGCAGACAGACAAGCTAACAAAATGTAGAATAAATAAATGATTTTAGACATCCAAGGTTTCACTCCCAAAGCAAACACTTCCTGATCTACTCTGAATTATGTATTACACAGATCAATAAAATCTTCATTACTCCAAAAAGCAAAGAACAAGAACATTCTTCTTTCTACTTTGGAAATTTTGACTTTATTTCTGAGAATTTCCCCTTTGGTTACTGCTGCTCAGAGTCAAAGTAGATTTAAACTCACAGGAGTCTGATATAAAAATTATATAGACATTGCTTTATAATGCAATAGCAATCCAGACCTAAATTTCAAGAATATGTTACCAAAAATTTTGAAATATTCAAATGGATAGAAACAAGAACTATGAGAGATAAATATTTAAAAATCTATGTACCTTCTCATTTGGGTCTTTGTCCAAAAATAAACAATATGCTATGAAATATTTGCTTTATATATAATTTAAGGATTCCTTTTGGTAGTAATTTAAAAAGGTTTGGTATTGCCTCATGTGAGATAGAAGAAATAAAATCGTGATTTTTAGATTAAAGGATTTTTTACGCTTGCAGAGGATGATCAGCCCCATATAGTTTATTAAGTAGCAAGAGCAGGAGGATCCATACTGTTCAGAGCAAAACATCGGTGTGGAGCACAAATGCTCCGTGCGGAAAGACGCATTTCTGCACAGGAAGACTTAGACTTAGACTCAACTTCATTTATCCCTCTGGATTACTCCTACAGGGAAATTTTGACAGGATGCCATTGAAGAAGTGCAGGGTTTGTCAGATTTGAACGGGAATGTTAGTACCGGAACATTCTGGATTAATTTCTCCCCACCTGCTGCTGTCCATCTGTAGTCATGCTGAATGTGCACCGCTGCACGCCAGGTGACAAACCACCCGTAAAAATTTTCAGACCCATCATTCACCATGTTTGCTTTATCAAAGATCCAGGTTTAGCTCATCAGTTCCCGTTATCGTCATAAAAAATAAGTTGCGTCAAGGAAATATTTTCCTCATCTTCATCGTTGACGAAATCAACCCTGGTTTAGATAGGAGTAATGCCATTTTGTGTATCCGAAAGCGACAGACCAATAAACATGAATAGGGAAAAGTGAAATCATTTTAATTAATCAGATTTACATTTAACGTTTCTGAAATATTCATTTTAGATAGGAAGATCTCTATTAAATATATCTGAAATACGTATCTAGTCAAGCACCTAAAATGAGTAAAGCTTTTTAGATATCTAAAATGTAATTGTAACTAGTACAAATTCCAGATTACTTCAAATATAACTTCTACTATCAGAAATGTAATTAGTGATATCAATATTACAATTCTGACTAAGAATGTTGTAATTGTTACTAGGTAGAACGCCTTGGTAACCTGACTCCGCCAGATGGATTTGCTTCGCATATCCACCTGGAAACCTTCGGTTGAAGTAATTTTGGGAAGGGGCGAAAATACTGGTTAGCTAATTGGCCTATGTTGGTGATAGACGGGCCAAATAAACCAATCAGATCAACGAAGCATATGACGTACTAACAGAGCGACGACGAAGAGGAGCCAATTGATAGATCAAACTCTTGCCGAAACCAGTCGGGAGAAGAGCAAAAACATCTTTTCCTCTGAGAAAAGCCTCCAGAGCAGTGTTTTGCTCTTCTTTCAGTGAAGAAATACTCTGTAATTCCGATAAAACTTGCTCGATAGCCACGCTAACGCTAGCTTCATCGGCTGAAGCCGCCATGTTCTTTAGACTGAACTGTCGTGCTTCTCGTTGCGTCACACCTCAACCCGCCTCAAAGCCAACGCTGATTGGACGTTCGTTTGGTGAACGGCTTCAAATTTTCTTCAACGGAGAGTCTCCAGACTGATCTGCGAGTGAAACCTTGAAAGCTGGAGAGATCAGGATGGTCTCACGAGGTTAACGCCTTGGTGCTATCTATAATAGATGTGTTACTAGTCAGTCTGTCTATTTTATGTTGAAACGGAGCCCATTGTTCTGTTGAATGTTAGTCAAATATGTTTTTAAGTTTCTAAAACTGCAACTTGGATAGACTTTATTGAAATTTCAGATATCTGGAATTAGAATTTAACTAGTCACATAATCAGTAGTGGATATTTGTAATGGCCTTTCAACTAGTAGAAAAATATTTTTGATAACAATAATTACATATTTGTATATCTAGAAAGTTTTATTCATTTTTTATATGTGAAATGGTCATTATCAGTTTATAGAGGTTTGTAAATGATGGAGATCGGCCTGTTTTCCAGTGTAGTCCTGTTTCTCTGACTGTGACTAACTGGATGTGCTCTCTTCATCCTCTGACATGGGAGCTGGCTCGGAGCTCGTCTGCCTGGCTGTGTGTTTCCTGGACGGGGCCGCCTGTGGAGCTGGTTGACAGTCGCCTTTTGTATCTATGCTTCTTTTTCTATGTCTGCTTCTGTCTCCTTGAACCCCAGTCGGCCTCAGCAGATGGCCGCTCACACTGAGCCTGGATCTGCTGGAGGTTACTTCTTGTTAAAAGGGAGTTTTTCCTCTCCACTGTCGCTACAAGCATGCTTAGGTTGAGGGATTGCTGAAGAGTCAATGAGTCGATGCAATCACCTGGTTTTCCTTAGATAGAAAACTTTGAATCAATCTGACTGGATGATCTGGTGAACTGGAAAGTGCCTTGAGATGACGTGTGTTGTGAACTAGTGCTATAGATATAAAATGAATTGAATTGAATTTTCTGTCATTTTATTCTTATCTTTAATAAGAATCTTCCTTTTTTAAGTTCTGATCAAACAGCTTGATTTTCTTCCA